AGAGCCCAAAGCAATTAGAAAGAATCCCTCCAGGTCAGCAAATCCTCATTTGCACAGACCTTGGCATGGATTTAAATCAGGCTTTAATCCCACCAAAAGGAGGAGGAGGAGGGGAAAAGACAGAGATGTGATGGCTTTATCCGTGCTTCCAATCCATCTTCTCAATGGCTACATTGAGACAAATGTTTAAATCGGTTCTTGCAACATCTCATTTGTCAAGGCGCTGGACCATCAATACACCTGATGGAACAGATATGCTAAGACACAACGAGAAGCGACGAGTAGCAGGTGAGCAAACTTCACATGCTGTGCAAACACAACCACAAATTCTGACGGTGGAACCAGCTAAGCGTGTCAGGGGAGCGCAAATAACGCATGTATTTTCTTCAGATTCTAGATTTCCCAAACGCCCTGTGCCAAAGGAAACCTTTCATTTGCCCTTAATTCCTTTGTCTGCAAAGCATTAACAGATCTGCTGTCTTGTACCATCCAGGCTGAGGCTATGGCAGAGACAGAAGTGCTCCTTCAAAGCTAAAGTTACACTAGAAATATTCAATTAATGCCATGCTGGGTTTTTTTTTTTTCTTGTCACATGTTCTTTCAAGCAGGCTCAAATGAATGGACAGCAAAGAAATAACTTTCTGTTCCCATTATTTCTATTTCTTTACTCAGTGCTAGGGCTTGTCTCTGGGAATGAAGAGAAAAGAAGCAGGAGAAGCCAAAGAGGCTGCAAATTATGGAAAATATAATTTCCTTTTTTAGCTAACTTGCTATCAACGTGCTACCTTCCCTGGATTCTGCTGTTTCCCAATCTGGAAAAAAAGGAGTTTCTTCTTCTCTTCTAACGGAGTTGAATGGAAGAGAAGAAAGCCAGAGAGAGAGAAAGTGCAAATCATTGGAGCAGGTCAAGTCAAGTCAAGTCAAGTCAGGTCACATCAGATCAGATCAGATCAGAACAGAACAGATCAAATCTTTATTACATTCATAGATCAGCATATATCAGAGGAACAATTAAGCACCTAAAGTCCCAAAGATGCTTTTTCATGAGGCAGCTGGACTTTCTTGTTTTTCTTTGAAGACATTTCTGTCCAAAATGCAGTCCATCTGCATTTAAAAAGACAAGGGCCACTCTTTCGAAAACAGCAAAGTCCACATTTTGGACAGAGAGGACCGCTGGTTTGAAAGAGGGGTCAAAGAGACCATCTAGGTCAACAGCCCTTTCTTAACAGAAGGGGAGAGACACAACACCATCTATCTACAACATGGTCCTTTCAACAATTCCAAGAAGGCTCCACACCCATTTGCATTACTCAGGTGACCCTGAGGGCACACATAGACCTCCAGGTGGTCTCAACAACTCTCTAAAAGAAGGTAAATGACCAGCGGTCTGCAAGGAGTATAAATCCTTTCATTTCCCCACCGTCCAGTCAGAGCTGAAGAAGCTTCTGGGATGAGAAGAGAAACGTCTTCAAAGGAAAAACAAATAAGTCCAGTTGCCCCATGAAAAAGCATCTTTGATACCTCACTTCGGAACAAACTCAACGCGATAAATGTTATCCATTCTTCGACATTCTTTTCATTTTCATCGATTTCTACAAAAAACGGAAATAACGTTGAAGAAGTAGCGGCGGATAACATTTTTTGTATGTGTTGAGTTATCCCACGTGGAATTACCCCACAGTGTGTTGTCTTGTGGCGAGTTGGCCGCGACGAGCTGGCCACAGCGAGTTGACTACAGCGAGTGGTCCCATTCGGTCTCAAAAAGCTAAGCAGAGTTACGTTTGGTTAGCATTTGGAGGGGAGACTGCCAGAAGATCCCAGGAAAGTAGACCAGAAAGAGAAGCCACGACAGGTAGCAGGAGCAAAGAGCCAAGAAAACTCTGAGTACGTTGCCGTAGATCTTCAGAGAGAACTCTTTGTCCTTCCAACATTGCCCATCTCTGCTGTACACCCTCCAGATGTGGCAGCTGCTGTATTCAGCATATAAAAAGTTAAGTCTTGGGATACTGTCACTTCAGTACCATTGTCTATCCAAATATGCCTATCCAGTGATTTGTTTATGGCTGAAGTACTTGGAAGCTAGCATCTGCCAGCCAGCAGAAGATAAGCAAAACTCGACTATAATTTCTATTACCAACGGATGCAAAGCGAGGCTATTATCCAACTGCCGTGTCTCTGGCAAAAGAGAGGAACTGAATTGTGAAGAGCAGAATCTTCACTCCTTCAACCCCACCCTTTAAAGGAGAGACAACATTCCTATGCCCGAATCCCACCGAGCATCTCACGATATTTGCTTGGAACATCTACACCAACTTGCATTCTCCAGAGGAGCTGGAAGAAACCCAGTTCTCATTTGTCGAATTAGAGCTAGCCTACCTCATTGGACCTGGATAAAAGGTTAGGAATGAAAACCAGGGTTCACACAAAGAAGGAGAAAAACAACAGGAAGAATAAAGGAGAGAGAAAAAAAACCCCACTGTTCAGTTTCTCCGTGAACCGTTTCCATGCTCCTTCCGCCTCCTCTCCTTGGATCATGTCCATTGCCCCACTGAATTGCTTCTAAATAGTTCACCTGAACGGGTCCTCTTAGCATCCAAGAACAGGCCTGAACAAAAGCCTGCTTGGCGAATGCTTCCTGTCTAACAAAGGGCGTGGGAGGAATTCTTGCCTAAACTGGTACTAAAAGCAGATTGTTGTTCATCTCAGCTGTCCTTCAGTGAAGATCAAAGCTCTGCTCCAAATATCTTCATTAAAACATGAAGGCCATGGCACGACCCGTTCTTGTGAGAACTATATAAAAAAAATCTTCAGTAGAAGATGCTTAGCAATCTTCCTCCATTAAACTAGGGAAGAATGACCCCTCTCTTAGGCAAAGGTGTCAGGCTAATCTGGAGGCACACAGAAAGGCTTCCAGTCAAGCTCTTTCTCTCTATATATATATTTTAAAAAGAAATAAAATAGAAAGTGGCCATTAGTAGATTACACACGAACAAAAAAGGATGCCCTCGGAGTTGAGGTGTCCTGACTCAGAAAGAAAATGATCTAGTTCATAGAAGAGGATTAAAAAAAAAAAGGAAGCCCTAGACTCAAAAAAAGAATCAAGAATGTGGTCAAAGATTCTCCAATGTTGATCTTCAAGCTGGAAGAGCTATTTGAGTCTCCAGAATCAGAATCAGAATAAAGCTGGAAGGGACCTTGGAGGTCTTCTAGTCCAGCCCCCTGCTCGAGCAGGAGTGAGTTTCCTTCCATCCTTAGTGAAAGAAGTTTTAAATATAAACTTAGGGACTTTTAAAAAGTTACAGTTGCACGAAGGGTCCAGAGGGCTGGAAATAAGATTTTGAAATTAATGGTGAGAATCCTTTCTGCGAGAAATTCTCGAGTACTCAAAAGAAACACACAACAGGATGAAGCTTTGAAGGCTGGGCACTAGAGGGAACTAAAAGGAATTAAAGATTACACCTGTACCAAGTATATTTTATTAGAAGATGCAAGCTCCTCACCCAGTAATAGCTGTCAATTATGGGATGCTTATTCAAATACATAAAGCAATTGTTGGCTTGAGAAATAGAATGATTGGGTCTAAATATAGTAAAGCACAGTTTTGAAGAGGGAGATCATTGTTAAGATCCAGGCTGAGGCCTACATAACAGCTATAAAAAAAGAAAGTTGTGATTGTGATTATTTTTACGATGATGAGGAAGAGGAAAAAGAAGAGGAAGAGAAAGAGGAAGAGGAGGAGGAGAAAATAAATGCTGTGCCAGGAAAAGCAGCTCAAGTTCTAATGCTAACATTAGATCAATCTTTCATTCCTATTTGTAGAAGCATCCATAATTTCACATCAAATATTTATTCCTACGTTTATTAAATTCTGAATAATTCAGCACTTGCTGCATGTCACAACGAGGCTCGGTTAAGTGTTCTCAACTGGCTGGATCTGGATCTCCAGCTCATCCCTTCTAAAACCGGGATGTTCTTGAAAAGATGATGTTTTCCCATGATTTGGAGAACATTTTTTGGGGGGGAAAAAAGATGTCTCCATTAAGGACAATTTGTCAGTTATCTCTCTGATTTACCTTGTCTAGTTTTCTGTTAGGGATGCATGCCCCCAGTTATTATTTTTTTTAATAACAGTGTACAAAAAAAAGAAGGAAAAAGTGGTCCATTGACTTTAACATTTAACATGTAGGCTCCATCCTGGCTGAGTGCTGAGAGAAAAGAAAAACACAATAAATTCTCTTCCCCTTTTACAAATGTGTATGTGTGTGCATGTGCATGTAGATAGATAGATAGATAGATAGATAGATAGATAGATAGATAGATAGATAGATAGATAGATAGATAGATAGACAGATAGAATATAGATAGATAGAAGATAGATAGATAGATAGATAAATAGACAGATAGAATATAGATAGATAGATAGATAGATAGATAGATAGATAGATAGATAGACAGATAGAATATAGATAGATAGAAGATAGATAGATAGATAGATAGATAAATAGACAGATAGAATATAGATAGATAGATAGATAGATAGATAGATAGATAGATAGATAGATAGATAGATAGATAGATGAATGACAGACAGACGGAGATGGAAATAGAGAGATAGACATATATATGAAAAAAGAAGGAAAAGCAGTCAACAGGCTGAACTAAACATTACACTAGTCTTCAAATCCCCCTATTAATGCTCCCAGTTATGTGCTTTATGGAACGAACAAAATTAAACTCAGTCTAAAGTAGAAGATCTAAATTATTGCCTGAGATACTGGAACATTCCACACATTTCCAGAACAGCTAAAGAGTCTTCCAGCTGAGTGAACATTAGCACAAATATGAAAGAACACAAAACAGAGCTTAGCAAACAAATCTGGCTTGTTTTCCAAGTAGCAAGAGAAACTTACAGTTGAAGTGGCACCTTCAGTATTGGGTATCTCGGCTACCAGAGAGCTGAGACCTTTTCAACACCAAGAGTTGAGGAAGGACCTTCTTACCTTACATCTGCTGGGTCTTCAGTCACAAGGACATCTGTCTTGCAGCTAGCCAACGGATTGATTGAAAGCTCCACCGGTGGAACTACGAAGCTTTTGCTCACAGGAAGCCAAAGACCTTGGCCCAGGCTGTAGGTAGACCTTCAAAAAAGAAGACACATGAGAGCAGAAGACCAAGAACGATGCCAGTTTGTGAACTTTGGACTTTCTGGTTCCAAGACTCAGCACAGAATCTCAAAATGTGAAGTCATGGAAACTGACCAAAGAGAGAAGCAACCTGGAATTAAGGAGAAACTTCCTAATAGTGAGGACAATTAACCAGTGGAACAGCTTGCTTTCCGAAATCGTGGGTGCTCCATCACTGGAGATTTTTAAGAAAAGGCTAAACAGTCACTTGTCTGAGATGGTACAGGTCCTCCTGCTTCAGCAGAGGGCTGGACTAGAAGACCCCCAAGGTCCTATTCTATTCTATTCTATTCTATTCTATTCTATTCTATTCTATTCTATTCTATTCTATTCTATTCTATTCTATTCTATTCTATTCTATTCTATTCTACTCTACTCTATTCATTTCTATCCATTTCTATTTCTTACTCTGCTCTGCTCTGCTCTACTCTACTCTACTCTACTCTACTCTACTCTACTCTACTCTACTCTACTCTATTCTCCTCCTCATCTCCACTAACCCTCCTCCCTGATGATGCTATCTAGTCAGGTCATGAAATGTCTGCAAGAAAGCAATCATGCTCACAGAGCACTAAGGATCCCACAATAACCTCTGGAATTGAACTGCTCACCCAAAACAAGAAAAGGTAGATAGACAGCAAAACATGAACCAAACCGATTGCATGACTCACCTAAGAATTTTCTCAGGAGCTTGTTCACCCGTCACCAAATCATAGCCTCTTTCCAGAGTTGTGTATGGCCAGGGGCTGGTGGAAACAAGCCAAAGGTAGAAGCCATCATTATACACGGGAGGGGTGGAATTTAAAAACAGAAGCAGTGAGAAGCAAATCCATTTCCTTCTTAATAACCACATTACTCAATGTCACATCATTTTCTCATCTTTGGGCCAAAATAGCTTATTATCCTTTCTTTTTTTTCCCCCCTTCTCCATAATTATGCTATTTATTTATGGCATTCTAATGCATTGGCAGCTTATCTATATTTAATTATATTTATTGTCTTGCTCAAGCCTTATAGCTCTTGTTGATGGATTGATAGATTAAGGTGGTATTGAAATGCGATTTGAAGGCTCCTCTCTTCTCCCCCCCCCCTGCTAAAGTGAGGCTCTTGCTGCTGTTTAACTTTTAATGGTTCCTTGAGACTTCAGAGTTGACATTATGCAGAGCGTCAAAATCAGAATGATTGTCAGTGGCATTCAAAACAGATCCTTTGCTGACTAGCTGGGGAAGGGTAGCACTGAAGCCAAGATTCTAGCTTGCAACTTTGTGTACTAGCTTTGAGCTTTGAGTTACAGCCCCAATGTAATTCCTCTGCTCCCGAAGCCAATCTTTGATAAATACACATTTAATGCATTATTTATACTTAAATCTCCTTCCGGGAAGGAGATTTCAAAGGAGCTAAACCGAGGCAAACAATGGGGTATTCCTTGCACCCTTGAACAAACCCCCCCCCCAAAGGCAAGACTATACAACATCAAAACATGGTTAATTAAAGACCTCATCCATTTGCATCTCCCGATGCGTGCAATCTTGTTTAACAACCAGTTTTTGAATTTCTGCTTTCTGGGAGGAATAGTCAACTCCTGGCTCCGTTCCCAGGCCTGGGGTTGAAGTTTGTCACTGTTTAATGGTCCCTGTTTTGCTTGATAGGTTTTGTTAGTAGAGTATTTTAGCCTAGGATGCCTGTTGATTCAATGTTTCCTGCTGGGTTTTGTGTTTTTTTTTTTCCCAATGATTGCTGTTTTTTTTTATAATAAATGTATGTAAACAAACAAACCCACTTGGATAGGCATTGGATATGCAGTACTCCAGGTGTGGCCTTACTAAGTCTTTATTTGTATCGCTTTATAAAGCCTTAGGAAGGCCACAACTGGAATGTTGCACCCAACATGGGTCACCATGTTAGAAAAAAGATGTTGAGACTTTGGAAAAAGTGCAAAGAAGAGGAACTAAGATGATTAAAAGCCTGGAGACTAAAACTTATGAAGAACGGCTGCAGGAATTGGGTCTGGCTAGTCTAGAGAAAAGAGGGACTGGGGGAGACATGATAGCAGCGTTCCAATATCTAAGGGGCTGCCACAAAGAAGAGGGGGGGGGGTCAACCTATTTTCCAAAGCACCAGAAGGCAAGACAAGAAACAACGGATGGAAACTAATCAAGGAGAGAAGCAACCTGGAATTAAGGAGAAACTTCCCGACAGTCAGAACAATTAACCAGTGGAATGTCTTGCCTTCAGAAGTTGTGGGTGCTTCATCACTGGAGGTTTTTAAGAAGAGACTGGACAGCCATCTATCTGGAATGGTAGAGGGTCTCCCGCTTGAGCAGGGGGCTGGACTAGAAGACCTCCAAGGTCTCTTCCAGCTCTGTTCTGATTCTGAAGGCAGAATTTGGGGAGCAGGGTTGTACACCTGATTAAACATGACATTCTTGCTGGGTTGCTAGATTTTCTGGTCAGTAATTCCGAAAAGTCTGGTCCCCTTGCACAAAGATGCCGCTCTAATGCTCTCCTTGAAGTCGGGTCTCAGTCTTCCTTCCCATCCCTTCCATCCTCTTTTCCCTGGAGATTCCCACCTTTGGGCCCTGCCCCAGAAGACCCTTAACATGCTCACCCTTCACTGTGTTCCCAGGTGTTGCGGACACAAAGGTGTCGATGTACAGGGTCAGGAGCATATCCTTCATGGCAGCTGCATTCACCTGGAAAGAGAGCACAGCTGAAATGTTCAGCTCCTGCTTGCATTTTTGGACATGAGTTGCACAGGTAATCCTTGACATAACCACCACAATTTCTATTGCTAATTCACACATGGGACATGGCCAAAGTAAACCGGATGTAGTCTTGCGATTTTGGCTCCTCCTCCTCTCTTCAAACCCCAGTCCCTTCTAGCACTGATGTTGTTACCTAGTTGGGTCATGAAACATCTGCAAGAAAATAATCAAGCTCAGAGAGCACCAAGGATCCCACAATTATCCTCCTCCTCCTCTTCCTCCTCTCCACAAATCCCATTCCCTTCTAGAACTGATGATGCTACCTAGTTGGGTCATGAAACATCTGCAAGAAAATCATCAAGCTCAGAGAGCACCAAGGACCCCACAATTATCCTCCTCCTCCTCCTCCTCCTCCTCCTCCTCCTCCTCCTCTCCACAAATCCCACTCCCTTCTAGCACTGATGATGCTACCTACTTGGGTCAGGAAACATCTGCAAGAAAACCACCAAGCTCAGAGAGCACTAAGGACCCTAATGTTCAACCCTGAGTTACAAATATTCCTTTCAAAAGGTTTGGAGCTGAAAGTTGGAAATAAACCACTGGCCGTAAATAAGGCCAGTGACATAACCCAAGCCAAAATCAGGAAAAGATGGGAAATCAATGCAGCTCATAAAAACACGGAAAAAGAAAGGAACACATTTCATTTCTGCAGCGTGTACATGGAGAGGCGCGAGGGCAAACTCTATCAATGACACACGTGCACAGGAAAAAAATAAATAAATCGATGCTTCTCGTCGCACAGTGATATTCAACCAAAGAAACAAATACACCTATTTGTAGCAAACTTCCAGAGAAGTCAGCAACGGCCCGTCTAACACATACACAAAGCAACTACACAAGGCATAGCCTGACGAATTCTGAGGTCTATTTCACACTGTTAATAACAGACTGATGTAGTCCTGCATGTTAAATAACTCTTTATCAAAACTAATGAAGACGGCCACTTTTTTTTCCTTTTAAGAATTCACTGGGTCCACAGTGTAAATAAATTAATTCACAGAGATTTCCCATTAAGGTAACACTAATGTAGTGAGCGCCGGAAAGAGAAGTTAGAAATTAAAACGATTGGAAATTGGAAAATGGTTAGAAATTAGAAATATAGGTAGTCCGCAACAGAGCCCAACATTGATGTTGGTAAGTGAGACACTTGTTAAGTGAATTTTGCCCCATTTTATAACCTTTCCTGCCTCAGTTGTTACGTGAATCCCTGCAGTTGTTAAATTTATCAACACAGCCGTTAAATGAATCTGGTTGGACAGATAGATGGATGGAAGATAGACAGGAAGATAGATAGATAGATAGATAGATAGATAGATAGATAGATAGATAGATAGATAGATAGATAGACAGATGATAGATAGATAGATAGATAGATAGATAGATAGATAGACAGATAGCCAGATGACATAGATAGATAGATAGATAGATAGATAGATAGATAGATAGATAGATAGATAGATAGATAGATAGATAGATAGATAGCCAGATGACATAGATAGATAGATAGATAGATAGATAGATAGATAGATAGATAGATAGATAGATAGATAGATAGATAGATAGATAGGCAGATAGACAGATAGCCAGATGACATAGATAGATAGATAGATAGATAGATAGATAGATAGATAGATAGATAGATAGATAGATAGACAGACAGACAGACAGACAGACAGACAGACAGACAGACAGACAGACAGACAGACAGACAGACAGACAGGGGTTGGGATTTTTGTTTGGCTTCAGTGTTGTTTCAGTTGGGGGAATCTAACACAACATGACAAACACAAGGCTGTAATCTCAAGGCTGCCAAACAAACCAAAAAGGTTTTTCTCCCAGAGCTGTTTTGCTTTGGGGTGTGTCTTTTTTTTTTCTTTTGGAAGGAAGGAAGGAAGGAAGGAAGGAAGGAAGGAAGGAAGGAAGGAAGGAAGGAAGGAAGGAGGGAGGGAGGGAGGGAGGGAGGGAGGGAGGGGAGGGAGAGAAACCAAGACAGGCTAATGACATGCTAAATTGCAACTGCTCCTTTCTGAAATATGCACTGTCTTAAAAAACACATTAAACTTCGGGGACACAGGAGACCTGATTTACGAGCTGCCAGAAAGCTGCTAACTTTCTGATTCATGATGGGAGGTTCCCAAATCTAACCTTCCCAGCAAAGGAAATAGGTAGGTGTGTGTGTGTGTGTGTGTGTGTGTGTGTGTGTGTTGGGGGAATAGGTGGAAGGGAGGTTTCCGTTGAAAGGAGAAACCCAGGGAAGGAATATGACATGGCAGGTGTCAGAACCAATTATATTTCATCTCTAGTTATCAACTATAGAAAACCCCATATCTGCCTTCCCTGGATTCTGACATACGGTGAAGGGAAGGGGCTGAGCAAAGGGGCTTTATGGCCCTCACTTCCTTCAGTACACTTCAAAGCGACTGAATGTGGATATCGCCAAAAGGACTAACCATAACAATGGGGCTATTACCTTTCATGTAGTTCTCTCTGAAGTCTCCCTCCAGCCGGCAGTAAGGAAAAGGAGTGTAATGCCTGAGACTGTCTCTGGAAGAAGGGGGTGATTGGGTGGGGCTACTGGGGAACCCCTTAAAACCTTGAATGGGAGAGCTTGGACCCCAAGTCCTGTCTAGAACGCCTGCAACCATTTTCTCTTAATAAAGGATGCCTGTTGGAAAAATTATTCCAAGATGTCTGTCTTCTTAAGGTGCAAAGTGGGATGGGTCCTTACAGCAGGAAGGCATCCATCTTTGCTTGGAGATGCAGAGGGATGAGGAGGAAGAGGGTGGGTAGGTGGGTGGGTGGGCCCTGCAGTTTCTCATTTGTTTTAAGGAAAGCTTTGCCAATCGAGGCAGCCCTTAATAAGTCATTTCTTCCCTCCCAAGGTTGGTGTGTTGTTGTTTTTTTCCCATGTGCCTGGGTCATTAATTCCTCACCCTTACAGAATAATAAATATATGTTCTACAACTCAACCAGACTTGGGGGGGAGGGGGGAGAAAAACACGCAGATTGGAGACTAGCAGAGAAGGGAGCGTCGCTGTGAGATAAAGATGTTACTGTTGTTATTTGTTGGTTAATTAGCACGGTTTACACCCACGCTGAAATTGAAGTTCCCCTGCATTTTAAGACCTCCTCCTCATCTTTTTTCTCCTCCTCCCTTCTCCTCTCCTCCTCCTCCTCCTCCTTCTCCTCCTCCTCCACCTTGTCTTTCTCTTCCTCCTCTTCCTCCTCCTCCTCCTGCTCCATTGATTAAACTGTGTATTTCAAAATGTTTTTGTAAGACTTCATAGTGCAGAAAACGGATTTATTTCTACTAACCTACAAAACAACCTCTGTATTTTAACAAGCAAGCAGCATGGTTGAGATTCTTTGTAACCCCTAATAAGCAACAGCATTGGAATCCAAATATCACGATTAGGTTCCATTGCAATATCCTGACTTATTATTCCTAATACATTTCTCTTCCTCCATGACGCAGGAGGTCTGCAGTTTAGTTCCAGAGCTTACTAATTAAGTCAGGTTAGTTCCTAGCTGAAAGGAAACAATTCTATGTCCATAAAAATATAATAAAAGGTTAGGGAGACCAATATGCATTAGGGAGACCAATATGCAGAAGTACCATATAGAATAGAATAGGGTAGGATAGGATAGAAGATAGAAAATAGAATAGAATAGAGTAGAGTAGAGTAGAGTAGAGTAGAGTAGAGTAGAGTAGAGTAGAGTAGAACAGAATATAAATATAAATAGAAGAATAGAACAGAGCAGAGCAGAACAGAGCAGAACAGAATAGAACATAAATTTTATTTAGCCAAGTGTGATTAGACACAAATGAATTTGTCTCCGGTGCAGAAATGCAGGCTCAGTTATTCCACAGTGAGTGAAAACTGCAATCAAAGTTTTGAAGACAATCGTATTTCCTTCTCAACCTGGCGATTAATTCTGCAAGCATTCAAGTTCACATTGTCCTAAGCCAGGCTTTACCATTTGATTTTGCTGATTAAGCCACAATTGGCTGGATTCGTAGGTCACCCTCGGCTATAAATCATGGCTTGCAAAACAGAACGGTTGAGTTCACACCATCCATTCCGACCTGAATGGTGTCCTGGCCCTGAGCTGCTTTGAGAAAGCTTTCTAAGCATCTGGTGTTTAGCCATGGGAAGAAGATGCTACAGATGGAGTCTCCTAGTGCCAATCTACTTACATGCCCCTCCCGGTTGTGCATAATACACACAGCTTGAATCTATTAGAAGGAGCTTTGTTTTCGGGAAGCTGAGGTCTTCCTCCCTGCGTTTTGACCTTCTGTTGGCAGTTATCCAAAGAAGGCAGCTCACTGCAATCTGTTCAGACCCGCACTGGCATTACTGTTGGAATGAGGCCAAGTTCAATTCCCAGCATCGGGAATTGGGAAGAGGTCACCCCACTGCAAATGTGCTTGGGAGGGCGGGGAAGGTTGAGGAGGGATGATGTGGTCTTGAAGACCCTCTTCCCAGGAGCTTTCATCAACTGCTCCTGTGCATCGATGGCCAACTGGGTTTATCTGAATAGAAGCAAGACTGACATTCAGAAGACCGAATAGAATAGAATAGAATAGAATAGAATAGAATAGAATAGAATAGAATAGAATAGAATAGAATTATTCTAGTCTTCCATATTGTGTTCTAATTCTATTCTATTCTTTTCTTTTCTGTCCTGTCTTGTCCTACCCTACCTACCCTACCCTATACTATTTTCTACTCTACTCTACTCTACTCTACAATACTCTATTCTACATTCCATGTTGTTCTGTTCTGTTCTGTTCTATTCCATTCCATTCTATTCTATTCTATTCTATTCTATTCTATTCTATTCTATTCTATTTTCTATTCTATTCTATTCCATTCCTTATTCTATTCTAATTCTAATTCTATTCTATTCTATTCTACTCTACTCCCTTCAGTTCTATTCTATTCTATTCTATTCTATTCTATTCTATTCTATTCTATTCTATTCTATTCTATTCTACTCGACTCTACTCTACTCTACTCTTTCAAAGCGGAGAGAAATTAATCAGCTTTGCACTTCGATTCACCCCAAATGGTCAATTTAGAGATCTTGTTAGATTGAAGCAACGTTCTTTTCTCATTGATTCTTCAGTTCTGCAGTCTTCTCCTTTATCAAGAAGACTAACTGTTCTTGAAGATTGAAAGCCAATTTTCCTATCATTCAGAAAGGTCCCGTCCTGGCTGGGTCAGAAGAGGAGATATTGATTGGGTGGCCTTTGGGATTTAATTCGAGGGGAGGAGGCTAGAAGCTCATTTCAGGAGACTGGAGCGTTGCCCAATTGTCCACTTACCAGTCTCTTCATCGCAGAGATGCTCACACGCGTCCATTGTTCTCTGCCCGCAAAGATCACGGATCCACGGGGACGTGGCATTGATTTGATAATACAGGGAGAGCTTCGCAGGATTCAGCCAGTCAGAGATGTCCAAGTAGCTGCCCTCACTCACCACAAAACTGCTTCCTGCAAGATGAAACGATAGAAAAAGATGAGTCCAAAAACCGCAATTAGAAAGACCCACAAGCCAGGAGACACCTATAGAATAGAATAGAATAGAATAGAATAGAATAGAATAGAGCTGGAAGGGACCTTGGAGGTCTTTTAGTCCAGCCCCCTGTTCAAGCAGGAGAACCTATTCCATCTCAGACAAGTCACTGTCTAGTCTCTTCCTAAAATTCTCCAGTGATGGAGCGCCCACGATTTCTGGGGGCAAGCTGTTCCATGGGTTGATTGTCCTCACTGTCAGGAAGGTGCGTTAGATATATTCATCAGCTTGAGTTATTCGTAAAAATAATAAAGGATGGCATATAAACAAACCTTATGGTTTTAAACCTTCTTTCACCTTCCTCTCCCCCGAAACACAAACACACCATGCAGTGTACACAGCAGCAATCATACCAATTGTGCAGGAATAGTAGAGCAACTGGAAGTTGCAAGTTTGAAGGAACCACCAATTAGCAAACATTTATTTTCATGCTGCTCACAGGTCCAGTGACAAGTCTCAGAACATGAATATTTAATTAACACAATGCCTTAAAAGCTGGCTGGTTTTTTTGTTTTTGTTTTTTGTTTTTTTGATGCAGAGTTGACCTAATGTTGGAAGAATTAATGACTGCTGGGTAGAAAATATAATGGAGTGGTTTGCTGATCTTCCTTGGCAATCCTGTTTCTGTATGTCTATGTATGTGTGTGTCCACCGTACAGAAACAGCAAAAATGTGCCCACCGCTTGGCAATATGCATCTTCTAATTAGGCAAATGTATTTTCAGTTTTCCTTATCTAATATCTGACAGCCAGCATAATAAGGGGAGGGGATTTTTTTTTTTACAAATGCCTGCATCCTCATTAACCCTGATCTGCAATTACACTGATTATAAGGCTGTTTTCAAATGCTGTGACAGAGATCAGAGATGAAGAGAAGAAGAAGAAGAAGAAGAAGAAGAAGAAGAAGAAGAAGAAGAAGAAGAAGAAGAAGAAGAAGAAGAAGAAGAAGAAGAAGAGGAGGAGGAGGCGGAGGAGGAGGAGGAGGAGGAGGAGGAGGAGGAGGAGGAGGAGGAGGAGGGGTGAAACCCAACTCCTAAATTATTGTGTGTTTTCTTAGCAGAAGGATAAGGGCAATAATGAAGTTATAAAACTCAATTATTTTTTTAGGCTGGAAGAATCACACTGGGCAGAAGAGGGAGAAGACTTGAAGCAAGTTCCTTTCTCCAAGGTTTTGGGCCAAGGATGCTGTGGTCCTCCTTAAATCTGCAGCCTTGCAAAGACTGGCTAATTTAAGTTTCCAGAAATCCAGGTGGAGGAGGAGGAGGAGGAGGAGGAAGAAGAAGAAGAAGAAAAAACCCAGTGAAACCCAACTCCTAAATTATTGTGGGAAAGAGGAGGAGAAGAGGAGGAAGAGGAAGAGGAGGAGGAGGAGGAGAAGGAAAAAAATGCAGAACGTTTTGGAATAACCACTGCTTCCAAGAAGACCAGTGAGGGCTGAATTCTAAGGAGTTATTATTATTATTTTTTGAATGCATGGGAGAACTCATAGCCTTCAGCGCAACTGGTTCTTCATTGTATGAAGGTCCCACAGGGACATCCCGATAGAGTGTGTTTTGTTATATGATTTCTCCCACCCCTTAGGTCCTCTTCTCTCCAACCCAAATTTGTATCAAAGCAGAGTTGGCTGCAACAGCTTCAGAACTTCAAACGCCTTATCCACAGGTCTTCATCAAAGTTCAACTACTTTATTTTGACACGTCTACAAAGAGGAGTTTGAAGTTCTTGACTTTTCAGAAAAATGTGTATGTTAGAGAACAAAAAAGAGATAAAACACAGCAAGGCTTTGTTCTTTCCCCTTGTTAAATATTGTTAAGAGGGAAAAACACAGCCCAAAATATCCAACTGTCTCTCTTTCCATTTTTATATATATATATCTTTCCCTGGGATTATGTTTCCCTCTCCTTCTTTAATGTGTTAAAAAAAAGGCTTAAATTTTAAATAAATCCATTTCTAAGTGGATGTTCCACAGCAATCCACATATTAAAAGTTGTGATCAACCCAAACAATAAAGTAATACTGTAAAACCATAAGACCCAACGAAAGCAGTATACGGAAGATTTATTGTTCGTAAAATGTTCAGTTCAATAGGATGGACTCAATATCTCAAAGTGATACTGTGATACTGGGGTGGCGCAGTAGTTAGAATGCTTTATTGGGAGCTAACTCTGCCGACTGCCTGCAGTTCAATCCTGAGCTGCTCAAGGTGGACTCAGGTCAGTAAAATGAGGACCCAGATTGTTGGGAGGGCAATAGGCTGACTCTGTAAACCACTTAGAGCAGGCTGTAAAGCTCTGTGAAGTAATATTTAAGTCTATTGCTACTATCCTTCCTTCCTTCCTTCCTTCCTTCCTTCCTTCCTTCCTTCCTTCCTTCCTTCCTTCCATCCTTCCTTCCTTCCTTCCTTCCATCCTTCCTTCCTTCCTTCCTTCCTTCCTTCCATCCTTCCTTCCTTCCTTCCTTCCTTCCTTCCTTCTCAGGACTAAGAATGCAGAATTGCTCAGGTTGACTCAGCTTTCCATCCTTCTGAAGTCGGTAAAATGAGGATCCAGATAGTTGGGGACAATAGGCTGACTCTGTAAACCACTTAGAGAGGGCTGTAAAGCTCTCTCTCCCTCCCCCCCCCTCTCTCTCTCTCTCTCTCTCTCTCTCTCTCTCTCTCTCGTTCTCTCTCTCTCTCCCCCTCTCCCCCTCTCTCTCTTTCTCTCTCTCTCTAAATTCAAGCAACTTGTTTAATTAAAAACAAACTGGGAAGCTGTGCCAATACCAGCATTTGCCTGCAAAGATCAAGAGGAAAATTAGAGGGAAGCTGTTAATGGCTGTATCCAGTTCTCTGAGCATCCCAGTGAAGCTAGCCAGAGGGAAAGCAGATAAACAATCTTCAGATGAAACAATTAAAGTTCAATCACATGCCAATCAGGGACATGGCATTTGGGAGCAGAATGAAGTCACAGCTTATTTAGCAAGCCTCCAACCAGGGGATCCGTATGAAACCAACAAGACGGGCTTTAATCTCTAGACCAGGTTGAGTTTTGAGACCTAGAAATTTCAGCAAAAATGCATACATCCATGCCTAGGCAAATACATACAGGTGGTCTTGACTTACCACCACAATTGAGCTCAAAATTCCTGTTGCTAAGCAAAATATTTGTTCAGGGAGTTTTGCCCCCATTTTACGAAGTTTTTTGCCACAGTTGTTAAATGAATCACTGCAATTGATAAGCTTTAAATTCCAAAATGCCCAGCCTACTTTGCCTGCTGCAGTGTAGGTAGTCCTCAACTTACGAACATATATATGTTCCCCAGTCAAAAGGAGATAGATAGGATGGATGGATAGGATGGATGGATGGATGAATAGATGGATGGATGGATGGATAGATAGATAGATAGATAAATAGATAGATAGATAGATAGATAGATAGATAGATAGATAGATAGATAGATAGATAGATAGATAGATAGACAGACAGATACATAGATAGGATGGATGGATGGATGGATAGATAGATAGATAGATAGACAGATAAATAAATAAACACACAGAGACAGATATAACAGATAGATAGATGATAGACACACAGATAGATAAATAGACAGACAGATAGATATATAGACAAATAGATAGAAGATAGACAGATAGATAGACAGATAGATACAGACAGATAGATATAATAGACAGACAGATAAACAGAAAAATAGACACACAGAGACAGATATAACAGATACAGATAGATAGATGATAGACACACAGATAGATATAATAGACAGACAGATAGATATATAGACACAGACAGATAGATGATACAGATAGATATAATAGACAGACAGACAGATAATAGACAGATAGACAGACAGATGATAGATGATAAACAGACAGACAGACAGATAGACAGATATAACAGATAGATAGATATAGCCAGTCCATTTATCTGTAGTGAAGCAAGCAAGCCTTCTATGAAAACATGAACCTCTTCACTGGGTAGTATATATATATTCTCTCTATATATTTTCTCTATATTCATATTCTATATATGTTTGTTCCGTTTCCTAATCTAACAACATCAGGCACAAGTTCCGGCAGTGTTCTACTGTTAATTGAACATTTCACAGTCACACAGGATGCATGTGAGGCCTCCAGGCAATTATAATCCCTCATTACAGCAAGCTGGGCTTGGTTCAATTTCCTCACTCAGGAAAATTACTTAAAAATAATATGAAATCTTTGTCCCTCCCCAACGCTGTTCCAAAATAGGCTCGAGGAGCGTAAGAAGTGCTCTGCTTTTATGTCCAATTCTAAATCCACTTAAAGCAAGGCTTTGACTAGTAATATGTTCCTAGACCTGGAGGCTTAATTTAAAAAAAAAATTGGGGGGTGGGGGGACTGAACCTGGAAGGTCCCGTACACACAACACATCTTCTAACACCGGCTGTCATATTTTATCTTCAGCGGTTGATGATTCAGGGTGGTTTTTTTTTTCATCTGCATTTTTTGTCTTCTGTTCTTGTGAACAAACAAGACTGTTTTTGCAAGAGTGGTGAACACCTCTAGCTCAGGTGTAGGAGGGGCTTCACCCGAGCTCATCGCTCGTTCTCCGAGCTTGCGGGTTGGTGTTCAAACGTTTCATTACCAGGCTAAGTAACATCTTCAGTGAAGTTGAAATCTTAACAGTTTATTGAATAGACGACATCGTAATGTCGAAGCAAAACCAACTCTGAGGTTCCCAGACACCAGTTCATAGAATTAAACGGGTAATTTCACTGGCCAAACACCCAATCTCTCACATAGTCCATGTAAACAATTTCACTTTGTTATGGGAACCGTCTCTTCCTCTCGGCACCTGCTGTGGTGTCCTTGGAAGGGTTTCAGGCTCTCAAGGTCTTCAGCGGAATCGTAGAGGTTTCGTTTCTCCATCTAGCCCCTT